TTGTGACTAACGTTGTTAATTTGTACTGAGGTAGAATTATGATTCAACAGATTGAAACATGAAACATGAAACAAAATGGGGTGGACAGTGTTGTTAATTTGTTGAATCGTAATTCCACCTCAACATGGACTAACGGTATTAGTCACATGTCAGCATATTTGATTCTATTATTGTCACCTCTTCGTCTTTCTGGGTATATTAAAAAAATAGAGGGATTTTTACAGACAGGATAAACGAAAGGGATTTGGAACAATGAAAAAAACTATAAAGACCTATATCAAAACACATTAAAACTATAGGGACCAATAATTATGTTTTCCCAAAAATATATTATTGTCAGAAAATGCTGAACATAGAAATATGGTCCTGATAAATTACGAAGTGGCTGGGCTTTCATTTTTGGAGGGTGGGGAGATTGGTAAAGGGGCTTGGTCGAGGAAATAACAATGCTGTTTCTTACAGTTAATTTGTGGTCTAGGATTATCAAACTGTTTAGTTCATCGGACTGTCAGTTAATTGTCAGCCAAATGCGAAGCTTGAATAATGTCTCATCATCTTATAGCCCCTTTATTCTGTTGCTGAATTAATTTATCGGAGTTACACTTGAGGCCTGTTTCACTGGATATGTTGTTTTTCTGTAAATCATTTTTCGAAAATTTACTTCTTCCCATTAGAATAATAATGGAAAATCAGTTTAGCTTTGGCCATTTGTCAATATTATTCATGTTTTGAGATTTTTTTTTTTGAAAAAGAAAACTTCTTGTTTTTATTATAAGGTTATTGTTGTCTGAAGAGGGTGAGTTTCTAGTATGCTTCAATTTCTTCCTTATCAGCTGCATTTGAAATTCAGATTTTGTTGTGATTTTTCAGAGACAGGCAGAATTCTTGAAAAAAAAAATGTAGAAACACAGCTCACCCACTTCCTTACAATTGTCTTGGCAGTGTCCTGAAAACTTGGGGCTTGTTTGATTTTATTCTCTATCTCTATATTAATATAAAATAATTATGTAAAGTAATTTTTTGGAACTCATTTTGGAAACGGAAAGTGGAAAAAAAAAATCTGTTTGAATCATTATTAAGAAAAACATATCTAAAGAATTGTTTACTTTTTTAACATAATTGTCATTAATAAAAACATAATGTTTTCTATCTTTTCTCTAATTTTGCAGAATAAAAAGGAACAAAACATTCAAAAGATGGTTTTTTTTTTTGGCCTAAATTTCAAAAGATGTTTTGGTTTTTTGGTTTTCTGGAACAACTTCTAATTTTCTTGTCTTTTAGAACAAATAATAGAAAACACATTTTTTTTTATTCCATCTTCTGGTATCTTGGAAAACCTTGGGGTATTGCCACTATTCGTCCAGACTAATAGAAAACACATTTTTAAATAGGTTTTTGTTTTTCAAAATGAAAAACTGTTCTGAAAACAGGATATCATACATGCCATTGATCTTCATAGCAGCTAAGTGGTGAAATCTGGTATTGTTCTTTTGACAGGTGAAAAATATATCAATGGAGATTCTTGATTTCTATGAAAGCAATAGGATGTTCACAGACGAGAGGATCAATGCTGCTCTCAACAAGCTGGGCTCCAGGTCTTAAAAGCTCTGTCTTCTTCAGTTGAGTTATTAATAATAAATCATGTGGAAGGAAAATCTGATCCCAGAGCTATGCACAATTCTTTGCCATAGCTTCCTCTACATAAAAGCTCATCTTCTAGTGAACTTCCAAGGGCATGTTATGCTTTAGAACATTCTCTGAAAGTCATCACTAGTGAGCTCAAAATGATTAAATGTGAGACCACAGATTACTGGATTGGTTTTAACATGTCGGTGATCTGTGACTTTCATTTCATTCAAGCTGAAGCGTGTTTGTTAGAGAATTATATGTGGGATCTTATGTATTGCATGAAGTTAAAGGAATGAATAGACTATTTTATAATTTTTGAACAGTACAGTCTTTTTTTAATATTTTAAATTTATATATGATGTAATTTTTCCCTTTAATATTTAAAAATGATGCATTGGACATCTTGTTATTAAAAAAATCAACTTTAACTATTAGATGATTCAAAAAAATTATAGAAAAGAATGTTAAAATTATAAAAAAGTTTCTTATAAGAAAAGTAATATTGATTAAGTTTTTAAAATAGTGTTATAATTTATTAGTCTTCCAAAATTTATAAGTCTTTCTTTAAAAGTTTACAGTTATTATAAAAAATTCTTTCATTTATAAATGAATAATATATTAAGTTGTAAATTTTTAGAGAATTTTTAAAGGATAAATGTTGAATTGGGTTTTAAATTATATGTTCAGGAGCATCTGGATTTCAAACTCATTTTTAATGTAGTATTTTTTTTTTAACTTTTGAAAACAGTATGGTTATTTTATGTAATTTTTTGTCTTTTTTTTAATAATTTTTTGTTCTTTTTTATAAATTTGGAAGTCCTTTTCTATGATTTTCTCTTTTGGTAAATCACTGTTGTTAATGGTTAGGGTTATATTATACTTTTTTTAAAATTTGAAAAGAAATATTGTATAAAAAAAGAGGTAGGATTCTAAACGTTTTAATTGTATGGTTCAAAGGTGAAATTGCCATTTAATTTATTTTTAAATTTCAAAAGTTAACTTATAAATTATGTGTTATTACTTGACTTGTAAATAACAATAATAAACTTATTATATATACATCTATATTAAATTATTAATATTCTAATAAAATATTATAAAACAAATATATTTTTTAATTATTTATTGATGTTGTTGCTAGCAATTATGATATGTTAATCACTTGGTAGTTAATTAAAATGGCCAGTCAAAATTATATTTTAGTATTTTACATGGGTAAAATAATATTTGTATCCTAACTGGTGTTTTGGATTTCAATTGAATATAATTGATTTGAAAAAAAATTGATTAATATAATTAATTTGAAATAAATTGATTATGTTATGTGGCATATAGTTGATTAATAAAATTGATTGATAAGATAGATTTTAATCAGAATTGAAAAGCAAAATTAAAAAGCAGGAAAAAAATAAGGTAAATCATAGTTTTTATACAAATATATCTAAACACACCTGCTACATTTTAGAATCGATTATGAATACAAAAATTACATTTTCAAAAAAATATCTAAACACCCATTATATATGTCAAAATTAATTATAAATTTAAAATTATAGTTTTTTAAACATATCTAAACACCTTCCATACATGTCAAAATTAATTATGAACTCAAAATCATGACTACTTGTTTTTCAATTCAATTTTTTAATTATACATTTCTAAAAATTATCCAACAATCATATAAATTATTTACAAATCATATTCTTTGGTTCATAATTAATTTTGACATAATAAAAGGTGTTTGGATATTTTTGAGAAAATTATGGTTTGGATTCATAATTAATTTTAGCATGTATAATAGGTGTTTGGATATTTTAAGAAAACATGATTTTAGATTCATAATTGATTTTAACATGTAACATAAGTGTTTGAGTAATTTTGTCAAAACATTTTTTAATTATTTATTGGTATTGTTGCTAGCAATTATGATATGTAATCACTTGGTAGTTAGTTAATTAAAATGGCCAGTCAAAATATATTTTAGTATTCTACATGGGTAAAATAATATTTGTATCCTAACATCTATATGCAATTTTCTATGCCTTTTTTTGTAGTTTTAAGGTCCCTTTTCAAAGTTTTTAAAGAAATAATAATAATTAGGTCGCAAAACACTAAATTAATCATAATTAAATTTCAACAAAATTTTCTACAAAATTAATTATAAATATCAATTCCAAACATTACAAACAAAAATTTTTATTACAATTTAAAAATTACATTTGATACTTAAATACTTATATGCAACTGAAACTCCCTAAATTTATAATTATTTGGATTGATATTTTAAACTAATTTTTCAAAAAAAAAATTATTGAGGACTTAATTGTTATTAATTTAGAGTTTAAAATCTAACTATCATTTTTTTTTTTAAATTGACTAACAATCAAAGTTAAATTTTTAACACCATTTTCAAATGTTAAAAGAGATAATTACCACATATTTAAGGTACTCATGTTTCTTTGAGGGTTCCCCTTTAATCCTGTTTTAAAATTGTTTTATGCTAATTTATTTTAAGAGACTTGCTTATAGATACTCCCTTTGTCTCAAATTATAAAACGTCTTTGAAGAAATTTTTTTATCTCAAAATATAGACATTTTAAATAGATTAAGGTTTCATAAAATGAACTAATTTTTATATTACCCTTTCTCTCTGTATAATTAATTTCCATCTCTTCTCTTTTTAATATTAAATGATGAATATTTTTTAAAAATTTTCTATTTTTCTTTGAAAAGATAAAATTGTTAAATGTATTTAATAAGGTTTATTGATATATAAAATTTTGTCTAAAAGTACCTTCTAATTTGAGATGAAAGAAGTATAATTTATGTGACTTCCAAATATGATTTCACGCAGGGAGAGAGGGGGTGGGGGGGGGAGGGGAGAGAGAGAGAGAGAACTTTCATACATGATTGCCTATTATATTGGCATCCTAAGGTGCAGTGGTAATTTCAAAAATGATCCTATCTTAAAAAAAAAAAAACATGACAAACTCTACCATTAGTCAAGCATTCATCCTAAAATCACAGAAAAACTAAAACTATTCCTTTTCAAACTACTTTCTAAATGACAAAAATAACACTATCCCTTTTCAAAAATTAACACTATTCCTTTTCCAAACATAACAATTGATCCTCCTTTGAATCACCAAAAAAAAAAAAAACACTCACATAATCAATGGCAGGATCCTGATTCCTGATCAACTACTCTTGTAAAGTCTCCTGATCAGCCGTGGAGGAACCGTTTACCTCTTAACAATGTTCCTCTCCATACTTGGTCAAAACATTTCCATCTCCTATCGCTCCTTCTTTCCCCTTCTCCGTTGTTCTTCTCTGCATGATATTTTATATAAAAATTAAATTAAATGGTCGATATGTACGATATTAGTTCATTAATAACTGCCTAACTCTGTCATCCTAATCATCTTCAAGTGCCTTGATGACATGCTCCATTTTGGACCCCCGTTGAGTTCAGGACAGGCACATAATCACAAGCGCACAATTATTTTTTGTTTTTTGTTTTTAATGCAATAATGTTGATTTCATCCATAAATGTTGGCAAATGAATCCATAAGAAATATTGAGTTATTAACTACTTCTGTTTTCAAAGATAAAAAATTTTAAACAACTCACACAGTTTAAAAAAGTTGATTAACTCTAATATTATGTCTGAAATTAAAAAGTTTGAACAAAACTATCCTTGTGATTAATCCTTCAATTTTTTCCCTAATTTAATTTAAAACAAAAAAAAAACACAACACACACACACACACAAACCATATGGAAGTTTTGCTTATATTTAAGAACGGAGGGAGCACCTTGTTGCCTTCGAGCTTCAGATTTTGCAAAGAAATCCCTCCACTCGTCAGTTAGAACGAAAATTGGTTCGTCATCCTCTTCTTCATCTTGATGCAGATGCTCCTGCTCTTGTGAGATGCTGCATGCCAACCAACAACATTCGAAGTTAGCTTGTGTGACAGATCGAGGGTAATTAGGTGGATAATAAAGGAAACAATTCAAGGATAATTAAGAAAATCAGGAAAGAAGTATTTTGGAAAATTAAGACTCTATTTGGTACGAAGTATTAAGTTTTATGGTATTGGTATTGGGAATGAGATTAGGTATGAAAATAAACTTTAAAGTTATGTTCGAATAAGTAGATGAGAGGATATGTAGATGATGGACTGAATGAAATAGCATTTTGTAACTATTACGTCATTGCAAGGCTAGCCACGCATCAGGTTGAGAAGCTATCGAGTTTATTTCTTCAATGGAGTCAAATATTAAAAAGACAAAAGCATCGACTTCATCTATTTTGTTTTCTTTTTGCGTGATTTTTTCATGGTCTGGTGTTCTTATAAAAAAAGAAAGAAAGAACAAATGCGGTTTAAACAAAGCATTATGAGTGAGAATGAGATATTGTAGGCTAGCTATACACAACATCCAAAATGCAATAAAATATGAGCAGAAAACATTTCTTCATAGATTTTAATAATGCTATTCGTAAGCCTCTATAACCAAAAAGCAACAAAATATGAGCAGAAAACGTTCATTTAATAGGTTGCAAGCCTCTATAACCAAGTAATCTTCAGTTCTTCAGTCGTTATTATTCTCATTCTCTTGATTAAAATTGAGATTCAGCACAAAGTGTTTGAGCTTTATCCACACATCAAGCAAAGAGCGTGTTGAAGATATTAATAAAAACTACTAATAGCCATTCACCTAGCATCTTAAACTTTTCTATCGGAATGCTTCATGATAATTATCTGAGACGAAAATATGAACTTTTAAACCTGCCAACTGAAATACTGACAAAACTTTCTTCTCCAGTCTCTTGATTTTATCCAATACATACCCATCATTTACCCAATCTCTAGCTCCTACTTGCCACTTTTATTGTAGATATAGTTCCATGAAGAACAAGCTTGTCATACCAAAGAGAGAATAAGACAATCAAGAAAAAATGAGGCAATAAGGTATGTTTTACATGAATTATGAATCTGTTGGTTGTTTTTAGGAGTTTCTCAACTGTTTTATGTGTGTACGTAGCGCTTGCATTAAGTTTTTTTAAAGTAAGTGTAGGGCTATGTTATTTATTTTACTTGAGTGAAGCTATGTTAATAATTTAGAAGTATGCTGAATCCACATGAACAACAAAGCGTCCTAATGTAGGAAGAGAGAGAGTAAGAAGAAGGCGTGCAAGGAATAATGAACTTTGATAGGCGACAATGCCTATACGTCGTTTGTTGATAAGAATCCACCTATTACTGCACACAGCAGAAGGAAGAAAAGGCCTGGAGTGGAGAGTATGACCGATGTAGGCTTGGTTAGTGCTAAAGAGGGACATTAGAAAGTTGTTTTTAAACCTCCTTGATGTGTTGGCAGTCCTAACATGAGGTCTTATGACTTAAGCCCACATGTCAAGTCTTTATGTAGTAGTTATGTGTCATGATGCAAACCAAGCATTAACTCAGATTTTTCTAATCCTCCCTGAATCCATGCCTCAATAAGGGTGTCCAAACCCTAGAAAGCAGAAGTAACTGCTTGTTAAAACCCAAAAGGAAGCCAAAAAGTGAAAAAAGGAATTATTTTCCAAAAGGTGTGATTGTAAAAACATCTTTTATAAAACTTGAGTTCCATTCCAAGCATGAACGCCACAGGTCTGCCAAAACAGCACTCTTCCAGATGCCTTAATGCCCCTTGCTCCCAAAGTTAATGGATATAATATCTAGAGAATGATCTAGATCAACTGGACAGACTCGATGTTTATTGAAGCTGTCCATTCCATATCTGTCATGTCATGCCATTTCATGATGTAGAAAAATTAAAGTTTATACTGGAACTCCAATAACGCATCGCGCAAGCATCATGTGAATATCCTAATTAGGGACGCATATTTGAAGCATAATATTTGTAATAGTGCTATCAAGTACTAAGGTCCAAACGCCAAATAAAAGCCTTTACCTGAGAGAGCATTGATATTCCAAAGAGATTTAGACATGGGAAAACTTTGGGAATCGGGATTTTAAATCAGAAAATTGAAGAAGCTACAAGAACATAATCCAAAGTATGCAAAATCCAAATCCTATTTGGAAAAATATAAAAATGGAGAGGGCCGTGGTCATCAAATAACACAGGTCACTAGCAACGCTATATCATACCCAAGATCACATCCTCCTTATACTTCCCACTCCCAACAAACTTCCTCACTGACTCAAGTGATTTCTTTTACTCTTCCCGAGCCCACCCCACAAGAGATCCTGAATAATCCTCGCTATAGGAATCAAAAGCAGTACAAGTTAGTAAAAACGTTACTAGAAAAGGAATCTCTAACATTACTGAAAAACCTTTTATTTCTTTCGCATTTTGTAATATCCAGTATCCACCAATATCTGTGAGTTGTCATTCAGGAATATCCTCGTGCTGTCAATAGCATACGATCCTGACCATTTTCTTATTCCTTTGAGTTCAATCTTCCTAATTTCCTCTCACTATGATGTAATGAAACCATTACAGAACAGAGTAGCGCTCACCAGTCAAGAAAGTCACATAAAGACTAATAAACATACCCCGACTTCCACCAGTATAATTATTTCGCAAAGAGGTGAAACATAATTATGTTTTATCCTCTATTTCAATACCCACCACGCCATAATTCATCGTTTCCAACGTTAATTCGCCATAAGCTTCAGTATCAAGGCTTCATTCCATTCATCTAGGTTCTTCAAGTGCTAATCCTCTATCTTCTATTTTACTACATCGAACTTCTTCCAAGGCAGTAAATACATTTTACTATGAGTTGTCTTTCACCATCAAATATTGTTTTAGAGCAGAATCAGCCAAAGTGCCTTACCTCGTTCTCTGTATAACATAAACTAATTTATCACACAAAGAACAAGCAAACAATTAAATGGCGAAAAAATTGAGAGGATTGAGAGAGGAAAACAAAGATAAAACTATCTTACTGGGCGGCAGCACCATCGGCTTCTTCATGCTCAGCAGCCCCCACATTTGAATTGTTTCCGACGGGGAAGGGAACGAGAGACTCTGGATTTTGAAGAAGAGGAGGAGGAGTTACAATATTGGATCCTTGTCGGTAACGGTGACAGTGACAGTGAAAGTAATGGTTGTGGAAGGCGCAGTAAGAAGGCACACCGTGCAAGTGGTGGTGGAGGTGATGGTGGTGACGGTGACGGCAGCAAAGCCGACGGAGATGATCGGATCCTTGTAAAGACATAGGGATTGGGGAAGTACTGTCGTGTTGAATCTGGCAACTTGTTCAGCGGCAAGGCGGAGCAACGAAGGAAAGGCAAAGGCAAAGTGAAAAGGCAAAAAAGAAGTAAAGAGACTGGACTCATGGACAGCACTAGGTATTTTTATTAAAAAAATATTATTTATTTATTTATTTGTTTGTTTATTTTTGAAATGTACTCCCTCCTTTTTTTATTTATAAAAAAATTATTATTTTTAATATAAATAAAATTATATTTTTCAATAGAGATTTATTTCAAATTTTTTTAAATTATTTTTCATAATTTTATTATTTATAATTATAAGAAAAAGTTGATGAAGGCTTTATTAACATAATTAATAAAGGGTATTATAATTTAATTTTTTTCACATAATTAATAGAATTAATTAATTTTTTTAAATTATATGATATAATTTTTTTTTATAAAATAGAAACTGAGGGAGTATCAAATACAAATTCACCTCACACGCGTACATATGGCAATATATTTTCTTCTATTCTCACTTCCTGTACTTTTGCCTGCTCCATTAAAATAGGTAGCAAATTTTGTTAGAAACTGGAGCCTAAAGAAATGTAAGTGTAGAAAATCGCAAATATTACCAAGAGAGAATTCAATCCCCTTACGTACCTATTCTTTTGAAAAAATAATAATAAAATTTTTTTAAATTACATAAATGATAGTTTAATTTCTTAAAATATCATAATTTAAATAAAGTTTTTAAAGACCTTTGTGTCAATAAATTTTAAAATAAAAAATTATTTTACCTTTACTGAAAATAACAAACTCCAATCACAATTTTTATTTAAGGAATCACAATTTTTATTTTTTAAATTATAAGAGTTGAATAAAAAATTACAACTTATCAAATCTAATTTCTGTTATTGAAAAATAAAGAAAAAATTAATCTTTTAATCCTTCAATTTTTAACTCACTTGTAACTCAATCCCTCAACTATGACTCACTACAACTCAGTCTCTCAATTATAACTCACTGCTACTTAGTCCCTCAACTTTTAATTCACCTATAACTCGGTCCTTATTTTTTAATTTTTTTTGAAAAAATTTCTTATCAAATAAGAGGGATAAAAAATACTCATATATTATTTTAAAATACCTTCCTCTTACTCATTGATGTGAGAAATAAGCTAATATAAAAAAATTAATAAAAGTTAATGGACTAATTTGTAAGTGATTCAAAAGTTGAGAGTCTGAATTACAAATGACTTAAAAGTTGAAGGACTAAAAAATTAATTTTTTCAAAAATAAATCTCAATCACAACTTTTGATCAAGAAATAACAACTTTTATTCTGTGAATTCCAAGAATGAATAAAAAATTATAATTTGTCAAATGTAATATTTACTATTGAAAAATAAGTTCTTGAGATAACAAACCACGTTCATAACTTTTATTTAAATAATCACAATTTTTATTCAAAGAGTCGCAAGAATTGAATGAGGAATCATAATTTGTCAATAAGGATAAAATAATCTTTTCAATTTAAAATTTAATGACAAAGAAATTTCTAGAGATTTCAGTAAAATTATAGCATTTCGAATAATTAAATTATCATTTATATAATTTAAAGGGATTTTATTATCATTTTTTTTATTCCTTTTCCCATAGAGAAGAGTGCTTAGGGTAGCACACACTCAAAACCACCCACCCTTAACCACATAAGGTATGGAATCCACACATAATCTCCTCCTTTCAAGGAGATGAGATAGCATAGAATCAAGAGACTCTTGGCAATATTTTATTTGTATAAAAAATTCTATAATTCATAATTTTTTATTTTGTTTATAATATTTGTATAGAGGTTCACAATCTAATCCCACATGCACCTGTTTGTTATCATAGATGATGGATGGATTGGCAACAAGGCACATATAAGGTCACTTCAAACAGGTTGAATCTCTATGGTTTGGTTTAAGACCTTTTTGGATTGCTACAAATTTTTCCAAGTCAGAGGATGAAGAAGATAAATGTCGTTTCCCCTTGCACTGTCTCAATCGTTATTAATCCATTACGTTCTGGCATGTTGCATCAATATCATAAGCTAATTTTCCTTCAAGTATATTTGCATTCCTTTGGGATTGCTACTTATAGTTGCTCTGAATCTTTGCTTGTCATAGTCAATACTCATGGATTCTATGAGTGATTATTTGTTGGGTCTATAACTGTTTACTTCCTCTTATCACTGTTTTCCTTGTTTTATATTTTAGCGGTTTAGTTTGTAGGGTTTTATGTTCTATCATTTTATCTTAATCAAATATTGACTTTTAATTTGTTCAAAAAGAAAAAAAAAAGGTATGCTATCACTTTTTTTTTTTTGGGAACAGTCAAACCTTCTTTTAAAGCCAAGCATTCATAAAAAGGAAATTCACCCAAACTAACTTCAATTATTAATCTATCATACTTTTTTTTTCAAAATTGTCAACATATTTTCAAGAAAGGTGAGAGATAATTGAAGTTACTTGAAGAATTTTTCGTGAAAATAGGTTGAAGATTATTGAAGAATTTTGAAAAAATGTGAAAGATAATTGAAGCTACTTGAAGAAATTTTGCTTGAATATATGCTGAAGATTTTTGAAGATCAATGAAGATTCTTGAAGAAAATTGAAAACTCTTAAAAGTTATCGAAGATTTTGATAAAAACGTGAGAGGTATTTAAAAATTATTTGGAAAACAAATTTCTTAAAGATATTGTCACATGAACTTTTAAAGTGTGAGTGGGTGGAATATAAAAAAATTCATATTCTATAAGCCTAAATCTATAAAATATCTAACATAATAATTGCTCAATCTCATCCTATAATCATCATTTGTATTAAACAACTATTAGTATTAACAAAATATTTAAACTTATTATAGAAATTTAAACAAAATCTCTCCTGTAAGTTAAACTACCTGAAATCTCTACAACCTGTCAAAAGAATATCCAAACAACATTTAAAGTTTTACTCCGATACAATAGATATATATATATAATCTAGAACATTTTAAATAAGGATTCTACCTATAGGATTTGTGGAGCAATTCTAGAGAAAAAAACAAAACACTTAAATATTTACATTAATCCACAATGTAAATAGAGCAACAAAAAATACTTCTTGTCTTAAGGAATCTCACGAGGTCTACTGAAGAACAGATCTACTTCTACTATTTAAATACCAAATTTTTTTAATAAATAATGTTTCCAAATAATATTAATAAATAAAAATAATAATCGTAAACATATATAATAGGAAACCAGAGATTAATTTAATTATCAATGGTATTAGAAAATTATCATACAATTTATCCTTGGTAACTGAGTAACAAAATAGAAAAAGAGAATAGAGAATCGTAATCATTAAGTTAGGGATATATTCTTTATATAAAACAAATCATAAAAATACAATTTTTACGAACGAGAAATACAATTTGAAAGATTTCTTTTTTGTTAGGATCTAAACAGAATGAATAATAGGCGTGGACATATAGTTTATGAGGGTAAGTAACATCTGGCGTGACTAGAAGTCACGAAAAACAGGCGCAAGCATGAAGCTCATGAATAACAGGCGTTGATTATATCCACAAAATTCCATCCTCCCTTCCACGTGTGTTGGCCGACACATGGAGCTAGCACCTCTAATGTACTCTGCTAGTTAGGTGTGACATGACGCGTCAAGGGCTAACGAAACTGTCATTAACAAAGTGTTCTATATTCAGTCCTATAAAACATTTATGTCATGTATGAAATCCAACAATCTTTATAGCTCAAAATTTTCCTTTAATTTGTGAAGTATAAATAACTTTTTCATCCACCATTTGTCCGGTCCATGCATACACAATATTTTTTTTAAGAAAGTAAAATACCATGGAAATACATACATAATTAAACTTGAATAATGAATATATATAGATAAATGATTGAATGAATGAGCCAAAAGAAATACTATCACTTCTTTTTATTATGGAACATTATTTACTTACTTGATATGTCACCCTGTTTCTAAAATTTCTTTCTTACAATTGCAATCAATTTTTCTCTTCTTCTACTGATTCTACCAAACATAATTGAATTTTAATAGATTTTCTACTAGATGAACAAATTCTCTCTGTCACCCAATATGTATAAATTTCTAAAGCAGTCCATTTAAACTTCTTAACCTTAAATCTTTTGCCCCAACAATTTTAATATCACAATTATACAATACAAATCAAACTTCTTATCAGAGATCAATTTAGGCTTAAGAAGAGAGTGATTCTATACCCACCTTCTTCCTCTTATAATAATCAAAATAGCTCTAGTGAAATTACCTAACAAAGTATAAACTTTAAAATTAAATTTCTAGCTTAATTAAATTCTATCCACTTCCTAATTCACGCATCACACATGAGTAGGAAGAAAAATCAAATTTTACAACTCATGCAACACACTCACACACACAAGTGGGCAGCAGCAGCACACTAAAAAAAAATGAGGAGTAGAGATTTCAAGCATACCCACCCCAAGTCAAGGTAAGGGAAGATGGAGAAACAAGTGCTGAACCACCAAACAAGCATGAATCAATTGGCAAGGGAAGCCTTCAATGCTGCTACAGCGATCAAAGAAGGAAAAGAGCAAAGTGACAACAAGAAGCAAGGAAAAGAGAAAACCACTAAAACAGATCCTTAACAGCATCAACGGATGAACCACTGCCACTGGTGACTAACAAAAGCGATTGGAAGAAGAAGAATAAAGTTGGGAAATAAAGATGATTTTCTCTCGTGTTCTGTCTCTCTTTCAAACTGAAATTTTGAGAATGTGCAAGAAGGGAAAAGGATGAGAATTAATGCCTGCTGCCCACCGTGTGTTATTGATTTTTATTAATATTATATTCTTTCTTCTTTTCTTTTCTTTTTTATAATTTATAATGTTAGAACAAAAATAAAATAAGTTTTTTAACATCAACCATATTAAACTCTAAACCTGCTAATAGAGACCCAGAAATATTCTCACCAAATTACCATTCACTTTATTATAATTACCCCAAAAATATAAAATATTTAACTATTTTATCATAATTTTTTTATTAATTAATTAATTAAATTTATATCTACACACTTGGGTTGTTATATATATGTTGAAGACTTTTGAAAAATATGTATGATAATTGAAGTACATTGAAGACTTTTGAAGAACTATTGAAAATTATTGCAGAAATTATTTGAATGAGAAAATAAGAGTGATGCATCAACCGGCCCCAAAAGAGAAAAAAGAAAGATGCATCAAAAAATCATTAGGTCATTGGCATGGGTCCTATTCCATATTTAAAAATAAGAATGATATGTCATAACATAATTGTTTCCTTTGGTCCAATTTTATAGGTAGTGTAAAAAATTTTATTTTATTTTATTTATAAATCATGTCAATAAATTTTAATTATAAATTTTTTATCCTATATTAAATTTTGAAGAACGAACATGTATTGTTAGAGTAAATACATTTATGGTAGTAAATTTAAAAATTTATTAAATTTTTAAATAAAATTAATGAATTTTAAATTTTTTTAAATTTTGATAAAATATATTAAAAATAATTTATAAATAAAATTACTGGAGTAATTTGTTAGGAAGAGACCGATTTTACTTTTTTAATGTCAAATGATCAAAAGCATGTTTTAGATAAACTTAATTTGAAAAAATGTAATTAATGCTTCCCATATCTCAAGGAAATATCATGCTAATCGTTGCCTATGGCATTCCTTCACTCCTCTCTCTCTCTCTCTCTACATATATATGTGTGTGTGTATAATTATATATATATATCAAAAGCCCCTTGACCTGTGGCTGTGAGAGTCCATTTCCAGTTAGTGGAGAACTAGCCATTTGCTTCAATGCAGTTCAAACAGGCACCTTGGTTTCCCTTAATAATCCCCAAGGCCAAAACCAGATGAAATAGGGCTTGTGTGGTGAATCTCCTTCACCCACAAATATGGAAGCAAGGGCGGTGCATGCAGAGAATTGCATTTCTTTGATCAAGCAAAGTAGCAACATCCAATCCCTGAAATGTGTTCATGCTTGCATGCTCAGGTCCCACCTTTGCTTCAACCTCTTCTTCTCCACTAAACTTATCGCTCACTACCTCTCTCTCGGCTCCATCTCACTCGCTTCCACCTTATTCTCTCTTGCTTCTCACTCTTCCTCGCCCGATGTCTTCCTCTGGAACGTCATGATACGTGGCTTCCTCGACAATTCCCTCCATCACCGTTCTTTGGAACTCTACACGCAAATGCGACAACTTCCCCACCTCCAACCAGACAATTTCACCTTCCCGTTTGTTCTGAAGGCCTGTGCTTATCTACGAGATTATCGGTTCGGTATTCGAGTTCATGCTGATGTGGTGCAATTTGGGTATGGTTCTGATGTGACCGTGGCTAACTCTTTGTTGACTTTGTATGGCAACTGTGGCCGTCATGACATTGCACGCCGGTTGTTTGATGATTTGCTCGACAAGAATGTTGTCTCTTGGAGTTCAATTATTGGCGCATACGCCCAGAATGGGTGCTACCGCCAAGGGCAATTCTTGTTTTCGCAGATGTTAGCCAATGGAATTGTGCCAAACAGAGCTTCCATCTTGAACGCTATGGCTTGTGTGCACACAGAAAAGGAAGCTGACCATGTTAGGAGGTTCGTGATGGACAATGAGCTTGACTTGGATAGATTAATACAGAATGCTACCATGAGAATGTATGCGAGATGCGGGAGGATGGATGTTGCTCGGGCATTATTTGATGGGATAATTGATAAGGATTTGGTATGCTGGACATCAATGATTGAATCTTATGCTGGGGCTAGTATGCCGTTGGAGGCCTTGGGGCTCTTTAGACAGATGATCTTGTTAAAAATCAATCCTGATTCAGTGACCCTTCTGGCTGTAGTTTGTGCTTGTTCACAGTTGGCATGTTTCCAGCAAGCACGTTTCATTCACGGTTTTGTAATTCGGAACTGTTTCCAAAATCAAGTATCTCTTGAAACTTCTGTAGTCGATCTCTACGTGAAATGTGGAAATCTGGCATACGCCAGAAGAGTTTTTGACCAAATGCAGGAGAAAAATGAGATCTCATGCAGCACCATGATTTCAGGTTATGGGATACACGGCCACGCTAGAGAAGCTTTGGACTTATTTGATCAGATGAAGGCGTTGCGACAACCAGACCTTATTACGTTTGTGTCTGTTTTGTCAGCATGCAGTCATGGTGGATTGATACAGGAAGGATGGGAGTGCTTCAATTCCATGAGTAGAGATTTTGGAATAAGACCAGTTTCTGAACATTATGCATGCGTGGTTGATCTCTTGGGTCGTGCTGGGCGACTTTGTGAAGCCCATGACTTTATTCAGAAGATGCCAATAAAGCCAGGTGCAGCTGTATGGGGAGCACTGTTGGGTGCCTCTAGAATTCATTCAAATGTAGAAATGGCTGAGCTTGCTGCAAAATATCTTTTAGAGTTGGACTCCAATAACGCCGGTCGATATGTTCTTTTATCCAATATTTACGCTTCTTGTGGTAAAAGAATAGAAGCGGATATGGTTAGAGCTCAAATGAAACAGAGAAGGGTGAGGAAAATTGCCGGGCAAACTACTATACATCGAGGCTAAGATCAAGGTAAACACATTTGTTTTTGGGGATAGGTCACTTCCTAAAGCTGATTTAATATATGCTACATCGAAGAATATAATGGGCTGATTTTTCTTTACTACATGACGGGGACAAAGAGATGAAGTAAAACATGTTATATGCATACAGTGAAAATATACAGAACACATTTCCCATACGCATTAATCCAGGCAACGTTTCAAAATTGTTGCCTCGAGTTTCACCTAATAACTATTGTCTATTTCCATGATATAGGCAACAGATTTCGCAGTGTGGATATGGTAAACCCAATTGAAAAAGAAAAGGGTATTACACTTGAAGAATTTAGGATCACAAAGATGCACATAGCTAACGGTAAGCTCTCATTTTCTGTCTTTCCTTGTCTTCCTTTAATGGCCCATGGCCATGTGTATTATGATTCTCTTTTGTTCTGTCAGCATTTCAGTTTTTCTTTGAATTTTTTATTTTCCACTATTGTTATTTTACTTGCTATGTGGTGATCGATTCTGACTTCACTGTTTCGTTATTTGTTTTCCTTGCTGTCGCCTTAGCTTCGTGTGCAATGGTTTGCTTTCTACGTGTGATGGAAACTTTTGTACTGATCACTATTCCCCAAATTCATGTAACTCTTTTACTGATCTCTTTGCTTATTCTAGTGTTTGGGAATTTGAAAGAAATTTCTGGAGTCTAATATGGTAAAGCCTATGTATGGTGTCTTTGATATGCCCACAATTCAGAACCTCACACTAAAAAAATTAGGATTCAAGTTACTAGGTTTTTATTTGAAGATTTTGAACTCCTCTATCTCTACAGCCTAAGAGTAAAAATATAGCATGAGAAGGAAGTAGTATGAGTTTCATAACGCTATTTTATTTGCTAGCAATGTGTAGTGAATATATTTCCACAACAGGCATTGCTTGATCCATCAATGTTTACTTCTAATGAGTTTCTGCATCTTTTTCTTCTCTGCGAAGATGTTTTAAAATTGGCTCAAAATGTTAAAGTTAGGCAGAAGTGTGAACTGAATTACCTAATCTGTACTTAATTTTTTTTTATTCACTTAAGATGTCACTGTTTGCCTAATAATCTCCATTATTACGCAAAAACATAATCTCATTGCAGAATAGTCCAAACATTTTTTTTATCTTATTTCACTTCATGTAAAAGATTATGAGTGTTGGATTTTTTTCCAGCTCTTAATTCTTGTGTTTGTTACTGATGACTCCAAATATTTTATATGTTGTTAGGGAATATTGGAATCAATTTGGGGTATCTAATTAATTTTGAGGGAAATTAAATCATTATTTTAAAAAAATAAAAGAAAAATGCTTTTGAAAATAAGAAAGGAGACTTGATAGGATTTTATTGAGATGAATTGGTTGCTTGAGCTAAATTTGCATGAATGTTGTTATGTTGTGTGTAGGATGATCCAAATTAGAAGTCAAAAACTCTTTAAGTAAGTAAAGATCGAAGGCAAAGCAAAGTTAAAATTTACACCACATCTCTGCCTTATGCCACAGCATGAATTCAGTCATAATGGTAGAAAAACCTGTGAGCAAGTATGCCACGGCATCTTTGTAGATGCTAGAGTGTAATACCCAATGACAGGCAACAGAATGGTCTTACATCATAGCGTGACACAATTATGCCATGGCGTGTTCGTCAGTTGGTGAAACGCTCAGCTTTGAAGAAAACTAATATTTCTAGGGTTCTGAAGGGGGGAGCTCAACATTCTGGACTTCCAGCAGCTACTGTATGTGGGGAATGAAGGGAGAACACCAAGGACGAGTTGGAGAAGCATGGGTTTCATGGGAGATTAGTGGTTTTCGTCCAAAATCACTTTAATTAAGCTTTTCTTCTCCTTTTTCTCTTCATTTTGATGTATAGTTCACTGATTTGCCATGTTCAAAGCTATATGTGGCTGATTTCTTCTTAAACCTAAAGGAATTATGAATCTGATGATGGATTAGGCTTGTTTTTATCGATTAATTATGCTTAATGTTGATTTTAGTTGCTCAATCTTGTGTTTGAATGTCTATTTGATGTTTGGCTCCCATTAAATATGATTTTGAGTGTTGGGATTTTTCCTTGACAAAAAGGAATCTCATTTGAACTATTAGATTGAGTAATATGGAATTAGATTATCATTTACCTTACATGCTTGAATTTGTGCAACTTTGTCACTTCATTGCCAAGACCGTTTGTATTTCTGATCCATTAGAGCTTTGCCAATGTCTTCACTGCTTTATGAATGTTATCTTGGAATTCACCAATATGATAAACCTCTATGTGAATCAAGCTTGTTACTGTTGTAGTATTGGTTCAAGACTTGAGTAATCTCTTTTTTAGGCATAGAAGGTAACTGGTTGTTTTGATCTAATCTCTTTCTGTTTTATCTCATGAGTTCATTCAAAAAAAAAAAAAAAAAGAATATGTTAAAGTTAAACACAGAAACATGTGATGTGGATTAGCTGCCTATTGTCAATGGTCATACAAAGATAAGATTTCAGAAGTAATCAGTAGTTCCCTTTTTTCCTTGTCTGGATTGATGTGACCTTGCATCAACCAAACATGCAGCAAAGCTACACTCTTCATCTGGTTCAATAAGATTAACGTATACAAGTTGTTTATGCTGTTCTATTACAAACTATAGCTCATTTATTATATTCCCGTGTCTTTTAAGCTGTTGTAGTTCCAGCTTTCAAATCGAGTGCCTCCTGGGGGGTTTGACAGTTGTTATAAATATAATGGTGGCAATTCAGTATATAATTTAGACCTGTTAACCTGGAAAGAAATGACTGTCTTTCTTTGTTTTGAGTCATTTTATTTGTGGTGAAGGGAAAAAAAACTCAATTCATAAATAAATTCGTGCTAAAGGTTGCTTTCAGCATGGGGTTTGGAGTAAATTTAGGACTTGATATATTTCACTATCTTAGATCAATTTTAATGAAATGAATGATATTGTTAGGAAGTCCATTGCTTGATCACAACATTGTATCTCGTATTGTTTGTTTATTGGTTTTTGTATTCATTGATCTCAGAATTTGAAATGTGCATAACCTCATTAAATACTGTTCTTCTGATGTTAAAATTTTTATTAGCAGCATCATTTTTATTCATTCCATTGATTAGGAGATAGAAGAATGCTTTGCACTCCATAATGTCCATTCTTTGATACAGAGATTCATGCTTGACTGTAGGAGAGAATGAAAAGGAAATGGAATACTAATCTAGTAGAAAAGCAAATAGAATACTAACGTAATCAAATCCTAATATACTAGGGATAAGAGAAAACTGTGAAACCAAAGATTAAACAAATATTTAATAGTCAAAGACACAAATCAATACCACAAACTAGTGAGTTGATCCCAACCTTCAATCTATATTTCCATGAGTCATTCTGTTCATTTATGTTTGTCCGTTGAAGAGAGGTTGGAGAAAGTAAGAATGATTTATGAGGAAAGATGCATTGAAAGAGAGAAATAATTATTTGGAGGAAGGACAACAATGGGTTCACAAGTATGTACTGGCTGGGGAGATGGACCGCAACTGATGGTGAGGTGGAAGGTGATTAAATTCACTGTAACTATTGTACTGGCTAGGGAGAAGGGTAGAATATTTTTTGCATGGGTTAAGGGACGTCAGAGTCAAGCAAATTTATCATAGAGTTAAAGGGCTATTTTATCTTTAAACAATAAATTATAGAGCGTTTGGATCCTAAATTCATTTTTAATACAACGTTTTTCTTCAACTTTTAAAAACAATGCAATGCTGCCCTTATCATTAGTAAAAATTATCTTTAATAACTGTTAGTTAATTAGAAAATTATAAAAAAAAAAAGACATCAAAAATTACAGAAAATAACTCCAAAAAATTACAGAAAAGGACCTGAAAATTATAAAAAATGACCAAGAATTTTTTAATATTCTTTTTTGTAATTTTTGAAGTCCTTTTTCATAATTTTTTGGTTAACTAATAATCAAAGTTAACATTTATTAAAGATCGGGGCAATATTGCACCATTTCAATAGTTAAAGGGTCACATTGCATCAAAAACGAGTTTAGGATCAATTTATGCAGGACAGTCCTCCGATCTCTCAAGTTCCAGAGGAACTTTCTTTGTTTCTGCATTATTTTCTTTCATCTGAGCACTGAATTGATGTATTACTCTCCTCTATACCACTGTTAGGGAAGACATCATTACACATGCATGAATAATACCATTGATTAAGGTTCATCATCATTTTTGGTATCAGAGCACCAATTTCTTGGGGCATGGTCGGAACCATCAATCGAGTTGAAGCATTGGAGAGATGAAGGATGAGTTATTCAGTCAAGACAACAATACTTGAGCTTGAGGCCATCTGGGAGAGCTTTGAAAGGCCATCACTTCAGGATATAAGGGAAGTTGTTGGCCGAATCTCAATAAATTCCATTGACGAGCTCAAAGACATGACTCATCTTGTGCAGGTGACACAAAATGTAACTGAGAAGATGGGTAGATACAGACACTTGGAGCTACCCATATTCCTTGGTGACGACCAATAGGGTGGTTATTTATATATTTCTTGCCATTTTAGTAAACATATCTATCTTTCTTTAGTTTCCAACTTTGTCATCACATTCCTTTTTCTTGAACTTATGTTTCCTAATCGGTTCCAAAATTCTACATTTAAATGGATTTTCTGTCAAAAAATTTGAATATCTCTGTGCCTTGTCTAGCTTTTTGGGTTGCTCTACTTGGATATTTTCATTCAGGCCCAAGGATAGTATAATTTCCTAGCTGCATGTGTGCTTTCAGAAAGAGCATGGCTGAGTATGATCCACTTCTGGTGGCTCCAACCTGCTGTGACCTGGCATCAAAAGGAGAAGAAAGCACAGTGCAGGCTACGTTGCTTGTATTTTGCATTAAAAATTATGCGAGCACTTGCTTTATAGATCTTCTCTCTCTCTATGTATTCATAGTCAACATTGTATACTTGTTTGTATATTATTCTGTGGTTACTGTAGTTTTGATGTTTTCAACAAGAGATCAGTAGGAGCGACAGGGAAGACACATGAAAATTGAGGCTTTCATCTTTGGTGTAAAACCTCATGAATTTTGATTTGTTTAAAACATGTGTATTGCCAGGCATTAGAACCTTTTTTGGCATACTTTTGATTAAAAGTAGTCATTGAGCATTAAGTTATTTTTGTACACTTTTCATGGATATTCTGAATAGTTTGTGTCTTTAGAACTTGGAACCGAGACCTAGTGCCTTTGCGTTGTTGAAATTATTGCATTATGGGCATAGGTGGAAGGAATATTGTTTGCATGATTATTTTTTCCCCAAGGATTTTCACAGCTAGCAACCATAAGATTAATTCCTCGAGAAATAAACATCATTTAAGAGGTTATCATCTCTCAAACATTACTCTCCATGCATATTTTTAGAAATGAAACTCTAAAATGACGCTTAAGAAACCCAAACCACGACTATTTATGCCACTCACTGGGTATTTTTGTTTGTGATTGGTTTGTTGGATTTAGAAATCATGAATTTGGGGAAACAATATATGGGATTGGGGCATGTTTGAGCCCCACAATACAATTTAACTACATCTTATCAACAACAAACCCAAACAACATTTATTAAAATCCTTTACAAATAATTACTTTTGATCATGTTTTTAGACAAGTAAATAAATGCGCTGATGAGTTAGCTTACCAAACTCTTATCAGAAGTTTTAGAGTTCACATTTTTTATACTTCACCTTTTGGTTGTATAAAGTTTTTGTATGTTGATATGAGACATCATATCACATAGCATGGTTTTCCTATGGCCTACTATTCAAAAAAAAAAAATCCTTCACAAACTAATTCATGAATAATACTCAGTATCATATAATTAATCCAGTCATAATATGAACAATCCAATACAAATACATATAATTAGAATCCAAAGGTATAGTGAACTCATGGTGGGTCCTAGGTTGGCAATATACAACCATTAAACGTATGATAAAGCTAATGAGGGATTTACAATGAACAACGACAGAGCCAAACCTTGGGAGCTCTCTCTGATTGGTCACCTTTGGAATTCTCACCTATAAATACTATAAATCACGAGATGAGGCAGAGTCTCAGTAAGCAACAATTAATTTATATGGCATGCTAGTGTTAATTACAA